CCATGTTCGGTTTTGAAAACATTGGACTTGGATCTAATTTTTTTTGTCTGAGCTGTTGACTTTTATAGATTTTGCTCAATACTATGATTGCTGAATTATGAAAGATAGCAAAGTTTCATGGGGGTTTGCAGTAGGGAGGAAAATGGTGCTTCAGGGAATTGTTTGCCCTGTGTTTGGTAGCTACACTCTGTACTTGTTGATCAATGATCTATCAATAAAACTCGTAATGTGATTTTGAGTATTGTATTCTTTTTTTACTAGCTTGCTGAAGATTTTGAACATGGAATTTGAGAAGTATAAAACAATGAGAATGTTATTATTCTTGTTGCTCACCATTATAAATGAGAATTGAGAAAAGGAGGAAAGTATGAAGTCTTGTGTAGTGAAAAGGAAGAATGTCACGGATTTTCTTCTCTTTTAAGAAAATGGAATGTAAGGTGGATCTGTTCTTTGTCTCATTTTTTTTCCTTCCACCAAGTGCTACAGCAGATGGTAGATCTTTTCTCTTTCAAATCTTGGGATTCCTATTTCAACTAATGAGAGTTTTGTGTTCATTATACGTATTCTATGTATGTTAAGAATTGTTTGGTGCTTTGACAAATAATGACATCAAAATTCTTATTGTGGTTGACGTCGTTAATCTATGGTGCAATATGTTATTACTGCTGCAGGTTTTGCTGACAAAATTTAAGAGTCTACCTCCGTTATTTAAAGAAACACCAAATGCAATCCATGAATTGACACTAGCAAGTAAAATTTCGCCCCTAACTTGATCTGAGATTTTTGTCTAATTCTTCTTGATTTCCTTTGGAATTTATGTTTCGTTTGACTATTAATATTTGTTACTGCAACATTGTTCAGGGGACATATATGAGCATGCTGTTATTCTAAGTGTGAAAACTGAGGATCTGGATGCTTTCGAGAGGGACTTTTTCCAACTGAAACCTTACTGCACAGATGCATGGTAAGTAGGTAATTATACATTAAATATTTTAATACTCATATCATCATGTTTTTACATCATGTTAGATAGGGTGGCGAAAGAGGGACGGAGGTTGTGGAAGAAATCCTCTTATTTTATTTATTTTTTCAGAAAAAGGAACAAGTATTAAAATAAATACTTGACTATTTCTAAATTTAATCTCCATTTTTGTGCTACAGATATGTGGATATATATTTTGTATTATACGTGCTTAAGCTCTTCGGTGTCGTATCTTCAGAGTTATATAATAATGTTATTCATAATACAGAAGTTTTATCTTAAATTCCAGTATAGTCACATTTTATTAGAATGTCTGACATGCAATCAAGAACTAGGGGCCTAGTGGACACAGTTTATTCTTATAAATGCAGTCAAAAGAATCTTGGACATGTTTGAAGAATCTTGGACATGTTTGACATGTTAGAAGATCGTCGAACATGGAAACTATACTTTCTTGGGAGTCACCAGTCTTCTTAGATGAACATGTTTTCCACAATGTTGGGGGTGTTATAAGCATTGAACTAATAAGTTGGTACATTACGCTAACCTTTGTTTTTTAACTGGTGATTCTAATTTTGTGGCATTTTACATTTCTGTTTCATTGAATATGGTGTCTCGCTTTCCAAAATTTAACATAAGAAGACAGTTTCGCTATGTCGGGCTTCTTATTTTCAAGACGATGCTTATGGCCATTATGTCATTTGATTGTGCAGTGGCCGTCTTCCACAATCCCCTCAGGAGTATCTCATCTTGGGTCTTAACCTTCTGAGACTCCTTGTGCAGAACAGAATTGCTGAATTCCATACTGAGTTGGAATTACTTTCTGCCATTGCTTTGGAAAATCCTTGCATCAAGCATGCTGTTGAGTTGGAACAGTCCTTCATGGAAGGAGCTTATAACCGTGTTTTGAGTGCTAGACAGACAGTACCTCATGAAACCTATGATTATTTTATGGATTTGCTGGCAAAGACTGTCAGGTATGTTTTTCATCACCATTATAGTGATTTCATTTGCTGCTTTGTTTTCTTCTTGGTAGTTGGAAATGATTTAGAACTAATAATTATCGTTTCTTATTAAAAACAATGGGAAGAAGTGGCATCTTTAGATGTTTAGATACCACGTCATTTCCATCAACCTACTTGGATCTGTTTCATGCTCGTTATCATGAACTACTAAGTTACTTTACTGTTGCTTTAATTTTTTATCTTAACTATGCTACGTAAGATAGTCCTTAATTTGGGTGCTTAACATAAATTCCCCTCATATTTTGGCACTTGAAAGTTTGTTTGCCATTGCTAGGGACGAGATAGCTGGATGCAATGAGAAGGCATACGACAGCCTTTCTGTATATGATGCACAGCAAATTCTGCTGTTTTCTTCAGATCAAGAACTATTTGAATACGTTAAGGTGGTAAGCTGCCTTGCAACACATTGCTCCACACCTTCACCCTACATAATCCCAACCGATAACACCTTAACATGCTTCGAGATCATGCCCAGCACTCCCCCACTTTACTTTCTACAATTTCTTATTTTACAATGTTCAACTCTATGTATTCCTCTATTCGTAGAGTACATTGAATGTACAGAAATAGTTATAACAGAGTTAATGGGGGTAAACAAGGTTCCAAATTCGGCCTTCTGGTTATGAAATTGGAGCTCTAATTTCTTATTTGGTAGTGTAGATGATATCATACTGGACAACAATAAAAATGAGAACGAAGTTAAAATGTTGTCTATTATAATGTTAAAACCTGTCTGGTACGATGAGCATTTACCATTTGCAATATGCAGGAGCATCCCGAGTGGGAGATCAAGAATGGGTTTGTATTTTTCAAACAAGCCAGAGAGTCTGAGCCTTGCAAGGAAATTCCTTCTTTGCAACTCATCAACCAGACACTCAGTTATGCAAGGGAATTGGAGCGCATTGTGTGAGGGATGTGGTTTCCATTTTTCTTTATCTTCAGTTTTTGGTGGTTAATCTGTTGTTTCCGCTTTGGAATATTTCTTAATTGTAGTCCAACACATGACAGTATTAAGAATAAAAAATCTAGTTAATTATATCAAACATTCTATTCTCAAAATTTTCAAAATGTTTGTAATGATTTGTTACGTGCTCAACAGCCGGGTCATTTGTTGGGCCAATGGGCTGTCTATGTCAATCAGTTTATTTAGAGTCATATTTATTTTCAGTCCATTTAGTTAATCTTTGTGAGTCTGTTATCACTTCATGGGCCATGTGGTAGAGCAGTTTCTTGTACTTTGTTAGTGGGTCAGTTACGTAGTGGATGCATAATGCAGTCATGGGGAGTTATGCCACCAAGTCAGTCTTTATATATATTCTGCTGTTTATTTCCAGAAATATTGTGTTTACACATTGGAGGCCTTGGCAACCTCGAATTGCCATAAATTTATTTACAGTAGTTTCGGTTAAATTATCAGTACATTACATGATTTAATTTTAAATTGTACTCGTTCAAGATATAACTATATATATATATATATGTTGGGAAGATAAATTCGCGCCATATTGAAGCCTTGGCCATGATGAGGCACAACTGGACTTAAAGAAGTCTGGTTTGTTTGCTAAACATTCAGAACTTATTTTGTATCGTACGATCTTTTTAAAAATGTATTCAAAATGTATATTTGATGACTGGTGTGAACACACAAATTCTTCCCTACTATCGAGGGAGCGCTAAAGTTCACCTAGCGGAGTAGCTTCACATTCATTCTAAGAAGGGCAGGGACTTCTTCACCTACTGCACGCTAAATCAGACAGATTCCTCTGCTCAAGGAGGATTGAGTCATTCTTTGATAAATGATTACTATGAGTCGAACTTAATAGAATTTGATCGAAATATTGAAAATGACAACACACTTTTAAATATATAAGAATATAAACGTTAAGTAAATATTTTTTTTAAAAAATTAAACACTGAAATAAAAATACTAAAAAAATTGTAAATAGTAAAAAAATAAAACTAGAAAAAACTAGAAAATAAAAATAGTTCAAGCTCATATTGACTATTTAAATGAAAAATTCAAATTAACAGATATAAAAATTCTCAATTCAAGTTATTAATTTTTACTTTTTTTCATTTCTTATGTTTTGCTTATTTTTCCTTTTTCTATTTTCTTTTCTTTTTTTTTTTTTAACTTTTGTAGTGCAAAAATATTGTAAAATTCATCATCATTAAAATGTAAATATTACTTGATAATATATATACATAAAATTATTTTATTTTACTGAATAATTAAATTTCATGAAATAAAATGTTATAAAATAATTTTTTTTAAAACAAATTTTCAGAATAACAAACAAAACGCGTTTTCAACAATTTTAAAACAGATCATCAAAATTGAAAATTGAAAATGAACTCAGAACAGAAATGCAATTTTAAAAATTATTTTTTAAAACTTGAAATCAAATGTGTTTTCGAATAACTTGTTCTGAGAAATTTTTTTAGAATGACAAACCAAACAATTTTTTAACAATCTTAAAACAGATCATCAAAATAGAATATGAACTCAAAACTAAAAATCGAAGAGTGATGCTTGGAGTACAGGAAATTATTTCATAGAAGCTTCACAGGTAAGGCACATGGGTGGGGCCCGTGCAATTGCTATTATTTTTTTAATACATGTGGGGCCCAGCCTTTTGTGAGTGGCCTGTAAGCCACCTGTGAAAACTGCCCCTGTACTTGGGGAATTACTGAAAATGGAAACGTAAACCAAAAGGGCCCAAAAGTTTTCACCGTGTTTGAATTGATGTTGCAAATGTAAACTACAAGTCATGAATAAATCCCAACAAAAGAAAAATAATCCGCAAGTTATATCTCAAGGAATACCCATATTCTGTAGAAGTTGACATTAAAATGCTGAATCCCAGTACATAACATACTAAAACCAGTTGAAGAACTGAATGAGACCTGAATAAGATGACTCCGAAGACTGGAAACTGGATAGAACTGTAGTCAAAAGGTAAAAGAAATAGACATGACGTTTGTGATTGAAACTATCGCTTCTTTCTACTACCCTTTCCAGATTTAGAAGGTCCGGCTGCTGAGGTGGAGGCAGGCTCTTGTTTCTTTATCCGACCAGGGTGTCTTGGGACCAACTCTGCTACATGAAGCATTAGCTGTTTTCCTGTAATATTATCCCAAAATGTTAAACACAAAAGACATAAAACAATTGCAATCAAGAACATCATAAAGTTGATTAATCAGAAATCAACTAATGGTATGCATATCTTGTGCATTATACGCATAAAACAAATGCAGCTGAAGCATATGCACATGTTGAGTTTTTCTATCAAGCTCAGCAAATAACTCTATTTTCTACAGAAGTATAATGCAATGCAAGAAAAGCCAGGGCAGCATTTTCGCATCCTTCTTCTAATATAGTCTACAGACAATTACAATTCCCCCCCACCAGAAAAAGATAAAATCTGGTGTAAAACAACGAAATCTTATATATTTAACTGCAGTTGTGCACGGAAGGGCAAAACTGTGTTTCTGGAGGCAAAGTTTGGCAAAATATCTCCACTAAGCACAACAGAAGTAATCTACAATTCTTTTGCATATTGCCATGCATTTTGTTCATCCCGGCGCTTCCCTATTGGATGGAGTGCAGGTGGGGCCAGCACTTCATCCAATAGAAGGGCGCCGGGTGTCCATTATGGACACCCTTATGTACCCCCTAATGTACACTTAGCATTTTCCTCCGGGAAATGAATGAACAAATATTGAAGTTTCTCTTTGACATGAAACAGATGATGAAAGAAACTTGCTAAGCAATGATGGAAAATCTCAAATTAATTCGGAAAAAAATTATTTAAAATGCAAAACAGAATTACAAAAACTAAATTGACTCGGTCAGTTTCAGTCTCAAATAAACCCGCTAAAGATAGAGCAACTGGTAAAATAAAAGTTTTGTTGGTGCTGACTGAATGTGAAATTAAGATGCATGTTCTCAATGGCTAGATTGTCTAGGGAAAGGTTTGGGATATTCTTTACCTCAAAAGGTAGAGAAAAAAGAATGATAAATAGCTGCATCTAACATCTCATCAGCATATCAAAATCTTGACAGAAAGTTGTGAAACCTTAATCAAAAAGACCAATCCTTGCTATCATTTTTTCCTCTTTTACTTCTAAATAAAGCTAAAGTTCAAATTTGACACATACCCATCAATTTAAGGAAAATTAAAAGCAAAGATTGTTTATCTGAATTGCTTGTGTCAATGGACAATCATCAGGTATGTGGAAAATTTATATAGAATGTCAAATTTTCTTGTGTTATTAGAACACTAATAGGCAACATAATTATTTAACCTTGTCTTATGTAAACAAGGTAATGGTCATTTAAAATATAGCGATAACATGTAGCTGGAAGAATGTTACTTCCATTTCATCATGCCAACTCCACACATATCCATGTTGAAGTCCTTTTTCCGCAGTTCTAAGTTTGGATTAAAATTATTCATGTTGGAGAAAAAAGACCCACAAACTTAGATGGAGAATGGAGCATAATTAACCACTTAACAATGTTGAAAATATCTCTCTTAGGTGAAAAAGAATTCATGCATGCTAGACCTCAATAAATGGTGGTCCAAAGCAGTCCTGTTCTTTTAATAAACTGAACGAATAGCACTTGAGAATTAAATGAACTTGGCATGTTTTCCTAGCAAATTTTCTTATTTACACAATCTATATCATTGTATTAGAAGCTAAGTGATAGAATTAGCTCATCATTTGGAGCATCACCTGCATAATGAAGTCAGTCGACACAATGTATGTTCATGAATAATACGAGAAATAGAGCACACTAATCTCACATTCAAAAGGTCATCATTTTACGGTTTAAAGACAGCATAGAATTGATGACATTAACAAAGGTCAAGAATCAACCAACTAGACTCTGTACCAAGCAAATTTTCTCCCTTAACATCATTTTACGGTTTATAGACAGGACAGAATTGATGACATTAACAAAGGTCAAGAATCAACCAACTCGACTCTGTACCAAGCTATATCTCCCTTAAAACACAATAGAATTGCAATTAAATAAACAAACAAAAAAGAAACCATTATTAAAGCGGCAAAATGAGAAAAACAAGTAGAATTTGTACTTACTAGAAGAAATGGCTGGATTGTAGAGACTCCCATCTTCTCTTTTCAACTGAACCCTCACCCTCCCTCTTTGCATAAAATCCCTGGGATATGCCTTCTCACTCTATAATATACCCAAGTCACACAAACCCATCAAAATTCATACAGAAATACAAAATATGCAAAATAATGAAAGAAATTATTATAAAATAAGATCACACAGACCCATCAAAATTCATACAAAAACAAAATATATGCAAAAATACTAAAGAAAATATTATGTAACAGAACCTGATACACATTAAAATTCATACATAAATAACCGCTAAATATATGCATATAACTAAAATTCTAACTAGCCAACTGCATAAATCATAGATTTTATACCTCAATAGCGCATGGGAGTTTCAGATGGCTGCAGCAATCATAAATCTCAGCATAAGTAGGGTTTTCACATGCTTTACTGATGTTGATCCGCCTACCCTCTGCAATTGTTTTCTTCGAATTAATGTAAATTGGGTAAAACACTATCCATTTCTTGATATTCTGTATATCCCCGTCCATATTGCCTGTTTATCAAATCAATTATTTTTAAACAAATCCAATTATTCGGGACAAAACGGCACACGATTCATCAAGAAAATTAGCCATAGCAGCGAAAAAAAACTGATAAAAATATATGTGACAAGAGAGATCAGATTACAAAATTCACCTTGAATTTCTTCTATAAAGAGAGAAAAAATGCAAGTAGATGAAAAAATTCGAATGACAACAGATTAAAATGGATACTGATAATGGGTCGAAAAATTGATGAACAACATTGTGACGTAAATAGTACTAACTCAGGTAATTTAACGATTTGTAGAACATTTCACTCTTCTGTAGACACGTTATTTTCCTATCAATGCTTTTTTTTTTTTTTAAATGGAAATTCCCCTTATTCCAAATAAAAATAATAATTAAAAATAAAAAAACTTACAAATTATACATCTGTGCTTATGTTCATATTTTAGTTTGTAAACAAAGCTGGCTATTTTTCCTTTTCTTCGTGAACATGAAAACAGTGCATCCAAAATTAAGTCAAAACTAGAAATACGAAATGGTCCATTCATGGACACATGAGATTTTGAAATATGAGTCAAACTTTAAAAGTTGGGTCCTTCAGTAGTTCTCTTTTATACAGTCAGTCCACGAAAAATAAAAATAAAATACATTTTTGGCTTTTTTTTTTTTTTTTGACCTACTCAACTTACACTAATCTTTGTCAAATATTAATATAATCATGTTGTCCACAAAAGTGAGCTTTGAAGAAATATAATCTTGCCTCTTTAGGCTCGCCTCAAGTCTGGCCTGTCCATCCATTCATTTATTCATCACCGGTATCTAAACGATTCTTCATGTTACCATTATAAATTGAACAACCTTGATCTCTTTCGTTTAAAAAATAAAAATAACTGCCATTATTTAAGAGTTACATTTTTCACAAATATCATAATTTGAGAAAGTTTGCAGAAATGAGGTTATAATTCACTATTTGTTTAATAAAAAAAGATAATTATGGATTTATATTGGAAAAAATACATAACCACCAACATTTAAAGATGCACTTTCAAATTTGACAAACTTGGGAAATGATTTTTAAAGAATTTGGAGATATTAATTAAATAGATAATTACATAAATTAAGGTCACGTAACTGTACATCCATAATGACATCGCGTCACAGTCACAAAGACACAAAATGTAGATCACAATTATAAATTTAACCACAAATCACACATTTTTATAGGTCGCAACTTAATTATCGATCACAAATTATCAAATTATTGATCACTACTTATCTTCTCAATCATAAATTATCAACTTATTTATCGCTCAAAAAATATTAAATTAATTGCTCACAATTTAGTTCTTGATCATAAATTATCAAATTAATTAATCACAATTACCCCCAACCTCACCCACCCACCCAAAAAGCATAGCCGCCTCATATCCACAACCCATCACCACCACAATCAACTACCACCACCTTCAACGAATCACAACCACCATTGCTTGCATCCCACCCCACATACACCACACTTGTACCACCAACATCACTGCACCTCCACCACCCGCAGGTCACCGCCACCGCATATTGCAATATTTGGGTTGTTTAGGGGTGGATGGTATTGGGTAAAGTGGTTTTGGATAGATACCTGACTTTAAAAAGAATTTATTTAAATCATGATTTTTTGAAATGTAAAGTTAAAATACAGGACTGTGTGTAATTTTTTCATTTATATAAGATAAGTAATGTGATCAAAGTTGATGCATATACAAGGACCAAATGTAATATTCAGGCCCAACCCCTGACCAAAGCCATCAAGACAATGGTTTAGGGCCTCAAAGTGTGATTTTTGAAATGTAAAGTTAAAATACAGTGTTGTGTGTAATTTCCTCATTTCTATAAGATAGGTAATGTGATCGAAGTTGATGGCTATACAGGGACCAAATGTAATATACAGGCCCATCCCTGGACCAACCAAAGCCATCTAGACAATGGCTTAGGGCATCAAAGTGAGTGGAAGGCTAAGTTTTTGTTTAAACTAGGAGTAAAGAGGAAAATATGAGAGCAAGCAACCAATGAAGAAAAGGGAAAGAAAGGCTTTGAAGAAAGCTAAATTGGTATTAATTTACCAAAAGTTCGTCCGGAAACTCTCGTTACTGCCACCGGTGATTATAACCTCAAGGAAATATTTCACCAAATCAGAACTTCCAAAACACTTGTAAGCAATTATTCTCCAAGTTGTGTTTGAGTGCTTAGAATATTTGAGTTAATCAAAAAAGCAACTGAAATTATGTATCTGCAGGCACTTATCAACCATGGTGCATCTTGGTTAATTAATTATATTAACATTAGGTGTTTGATGAAATGTCTGATTAGAGGCGGAGCCGGGAATTTTGTCCAGCAGAATTTAATCAAGGTTGGACTTTTCGGTCATGGATTTAATGTTATTACGACAATAGCAAAAATGACACAGCGACCACACTAATAAGATGATCATCTTCTTCCTTAGTAAGTGGGAAGTTGTTTCCACTTTATTCGATATCTCCCCATCAACATTTTTTACAAACGATTTTTTTTTAAAGAGTCTCTCCATTGGCGCTTCACACTAAAATAAACCACAAGTGACAATTAAATACTAATTGATAAGAAAATCGCTACTAATTTTTACTAATTCGTAGAATACCAGAAAATCAGCACTAATTGTTTAACTAATTGATAGAAATCAAGATTTCAAGACTCCATCACAATATTACCAAGATTCAACATTCACGTGATCAAGAATTTTTTTGCTGCAAATTTGAGGGCCCAAGGAAATATGGGTTTTAAGCAAGAAATGAACTTTGAAAATATTCCAAAACGAGGGCAGATTAAAAGAAAATTTTGAATTTCTTACCGGAGGGAGAGAATCAGAAAATGCCACCCGTGCACTTGGAGGCGAAGGAGGAGGAGAAGTCAGTCAAGTGACCGGAGATGGCGATGTTGGTGCCGATGGTGCGGGGGTAGATAGCGATCGCAGACGTCGAGCGAGAGGGGGGATGAAATGACTAGGTTTCGCTTTGGGGAATTGGGCTGGGATAATGCGTTATAATTTTGGGAAGTCTAGTGTTTTTATTTATTACCGTTTCAAAATTTAGATGTTTTAAATTTCAAAAAT